GAGTCAAAATGTGTCCATAGGAGCTCTGTCAGTGCATAGTATGGGCAGCAACTAAGGTGTGTTGTTTTCCCAAGTAGAGGGTAGGTTTTGACATTTTGTGCCATGGGACTTTCCGTTAGCTTAATCAATGAGCAAGGCAAACTGAGACATTAGCATCCATAAAGGAGACACTTTGTTAGTAGCAAAATACTGGCAACCGATGGTACTTCCTAGTCTCTCAACATCTGATATTCTGGGCACTAAGGGAATAGAAAAAGGAAAGAAACTGATCCTTTCCCTTGAGGCAAAGGCATTTGTTCAGAGTCATTCACTCACCATTGGAGCCCCGGAGATATGATGAGCTCTGGGCATAGAGTGGCAAACAAGGCCAACACGGCCCTGTCCCCCTGAGGCTTAGAGTCAATGTGTTTACCGAGTCAGCACAAAAGTTGAATCTCTGTGGAGACAAAAAGTGCTGGCTTCTTCACAGATAGATTAGGATATTTCTGAGACTTGAATTGGTAGGAGTGAATTGGGAGAATTTGATTTTTAAGGATTAAGGATTCTAAATTCAAACTCTGTAATTTATAAAACTATAGTTGCTTTGTGTTTTTTGAAAGTAGGTATTCCTGGTGCTTATCACACTTAATTTGGGGCTTGTATATAAACAGCCACCATATTATCATCAGAGGAAGACCTAACCAGATTTCACTGATACAGACAGGAATATATTTGACATAACAGAAGCTTCCCTTTTACCAAGTCTAAGAATTCAGCTTCTGTTTTTCCAGTGTAATTTATGAACCTCAAATAAGAAGCAGATTATACTAGAAGCTGATATTCTAGCATCAGCTTGAAAACCCTGGTCTTAACCCGAAAACCTTTTATTGAGATTTACTTCATTCATCAGTCATACAAATACCATATTGAATGTCTTCTTTATACCAGGTCTGTGCCAGAGGCTAGGAATCCAGAGGTAAATCAGACCTGTCCCCGGTCCCTGGGTGTCCAGCAGATATAAGATTTAAGTATCAACATGCAATTACAATCAAGCATTGTCTATTCCCCAGTAAATTAGACTCAGAGAGAGCCTGGGAGAGTTTAGGAAGGCTTATTATGGAGGGAATGGTGTCTGAGCTGGGTTTTGAAGAGGAACCGATCAGGCAGAGAAGTGAGGGGAACACTTACTAGGAGGAGGAAAGAGTATGTGAAAAGGCACAGGGGCCTTTCAACATATGCAAGAGCATCCTCTGATTGAGAAACACTGATTTCAGAGCATAGGATTGATGGAGACAGAGAGACAAAAATGGGTTGGAAAACTATTAGCTGATAATGCTAAGATAGGATGGGGACAGAAAGTTAATAGCTGCCTGAGGAAGGCAATACCCGCTATTATGAACTACAGGAATGAGTGATTTTTACCTTCTAAGCCAGAAACTCAAACTCATAGATATATAGATAAGCCACAGTACGTTATAACTAGGATGTCTATTACTATTTCTATGGCCATCTTTAATGCACACACATGCCAAGTTATCTGTGTCTTTAATCAAAATGCCTTGTGGTCAATATGACCTGGATAGATGGTAGAGAACCAACCCAGTTAAGGTAAATGCAGGGCAAAATGCCCAAATGAGGCAAGTCACCCAAAACAGTTTAAGGAATGGCAGCCAGTGCTGTATACTGAAGATACATTGTATAAAACTCTACTCTCGTATTCATTCAGTCTACCATTTGACCCCTGGAGGATGGCGGTCCCACAACAACACATCATTCATGCTCAGAATTTCTCTGAGCATCTCCTGACCCAGCACACCTTGTCACTGGCCTCAGGTGTCAGAGTGCAGTAAGTATCAGAAGCACCTGGATCTTGGGGGCTCTTCAGGGCCTCCTGCCTCCTCTACCCCAGAACTCACCCATCTCGGGCCTTCCTCCACATGGTGGGGTGGGAGGTGTGAATCAGTGGAACTGAAGGTGGAGATAAGCTGTCCTGGACATCATTTTTCACTGAATTAAATCCAGAGGTAGTAAAAGACCTTAGGTAGTGAGTAGCACAACCTCAGAGCTTCAGATGTCTGAGTGCTGTGGTGTGTGACCAGAAGCCCCTGAGGGGGGGAACACTGCCCTAGATCCATGACTGCTCACTCCACCACCTCCTGACATCTCTCTCCCTCGCAGACATTTTGGACAGGTGGCAGCTTCTGGAGTGTTAACCCACGAAGTACCACCGCTCCCCGCCCTGCAGCCTTCCTGCTCAAAGTGCTGAAGATCTGACCTCCACCAGTGACTCAATGACAGCAAGCCAGAGATGTCAATAAAACTCATTATAAGTGATGGCAGCCTTTAATGCAGGCATGCGGTTCAGAGAATTAATTCCTCCCACCCCTCCCAGGCAACTTTGGTAAAATTAAAGTGGGGATTGACATCCTCATGAATTTCCCATTTCCTGCCTGTGTTTATCAGGAATCTAGGTCATGACAGCTGTGCTCATTCACGTCTTCACTGGTATGTGCCTTAGAAGGGCAAAGCCCAATGCTAGCAGGCCCCCTTCCTGTTTTTCCTTCTCCATGCTTCTGCAGAAGAGAAAATGTCACTCTGACACTCTGGACTCAAGTGACTTCGACATCTAGTTAAGAGGCTGAGTCTGGGCTCTGGCAGTGACCACATGACTATCATCAGCAAAGGAGTGATCACCCGAAGCAAAGCAATTGCCGTCTATCTCAGCCCAGAGATCCATTCATGAATTTCACCTTTGCATGTTGACCTCCCAAGGTCACCCACTAGCTACTGCAATGAACTGACTATTCAAATGCAAGACCTGCCCTCTACTTTCTCTCCAGTCTCTCAAGTATTAGAGTTTTCCTAACAGAGGTTAGAAAAGACAGTATCATTTATATTAATGTTCCTAATCTAAGAACAATTCTATGAATTTATGAGATTAGAGTTTAACATTTTATTGACAAAAAGTTTTAAGTTTTTTGAATGAAAAAAAATAATCAACTATGATCCCCAAACCTTAACATAATCATTTTCATTCCATGTATTCATGTCCAGTCTCTGTCCACAGGTAGACATTGTTCATAATGATTAGTATGTAAATAATTTCCATTTCTCCTGCTTTTTTTCACTTACGATCAGGTCTTCACAGTTATCATATCGAATGGCTGGCTGAATACATTTCTCTGGGTGGCTAATTTGTGGTTTCTGTAATGGTTTGCCCTGAGAAAGGAGGACATTTATTTAGTTTCTATATTATGTTCTTACAGATAATAATGCATACAGCTTCTGCTTGCTTAGACCGCTAGGTCTTGATATGATTTACCTACCTGACTCTTTTAAAAGGGTGACACCAATTTATGGTACTCCGAGTAGAGCCCATGACCATTTTCATTATAAACTAAAAGATCTGAGAGAGATGCCAAACTTAATGGAAAAATTATTTTTGTTTGTTTTGGTGAGCTCTTTTTTAATATTATCTATCTTCACTGGTCAAAGCTGAATGGAGACTAAGGAAGAAAAAATGAAAAAGGAGGAGGGGGTAGTTTTGCAGAATAGCTACCATCTCTGTCAATGACTCAACGTTCTTTACTTCACTTTTATTTCTGGCAAAGTGAGGAGGCCGTAAGAAAGTGAGATACTGGTAGGTCTGAGCTTATAACAAGAGCTGCTCCCCCCCAGTGAGGGGACAGCTGGAGGGGAGCCAGATACAGATGAACTCCATGAGAGCCACAAGTGGCCCGATGGTTGACTGTGGCAAGAGAGGCGTCCAGCCACTGCTGGGCCTGCGGAGTTCACTTTGGAAGAATTCTTTAACCCATTTGAAATTCTGAAACCTGGAGGTACTGGCCTCTCTTTCTGCCTTCCATCTTTCCAGGGCATTCTTGTTGTGAGTTACCAGCCAAAGGCAAAGCCTCTTGACAGACACTAAGGCAGGGAATGAAGGGGAGGGTTCTACCACCCTAAGAGAGAATGCCTCCTGGGCAGGTACTGAGAGGGCAGCTTCCAGATCACAGCAAGGGAAGAGAGACAGTCAGCAACGGTGCCTAATGACACAGAGAAGGAAGGTAGAACAGCACATGTGGCTTATAAGAATACATGGAATTGATGTGGGTACACTCAGCCCTTCCCTTCCATATAGGAGCCATTAGGCTCCAGGGTGTGTGATGACTCCCATCTTCCAAAGGTTGTGTCCTTCTGATGGCTCAGGCCAGTAGAATAATCAATCCTTATATCCAAATTGTACAGCACATACAATCTGAGAGTTGTATCCTAACATACATATTAAACACTGAAAGCCTTGGCCAAGACCATTCAGCTACCATACAATGTGTCACTTAGTCCTTGGTCTTGTGCATCTGGTTCATAGTCTGCACTCAACAGACATTCACCAATGAATGAACTCAGATATTTTGACTTCATGCTTCTCCTTTATATCCTGCAGCCTCTTTAGGTTAAAGTCCAGTTTTTGTGTAGCCTTTGCTCTGCAATAGCTCAAAGACCAAAGGCCAGGCATGTTATCTAAAGATGAGTTCACCCAAAAGTCTCATTACCTCCTACAAAGCTTCCATGTTTTAGGTAGTTCATACCCCTGTGTACATGGATTTTGGGGTACTACTAGAGGTAGAACAGCCCTTAATGCTGCTGATGGGGAAAAAATTCACTGTTCTTCATGGTCTCCCTGGAATGGAGACGCTGAAGAAAAGTGAGTAGCGCAGCTCTGGCACATGTGGCTTTGAATGACTCACTTAACCTCTCTAAGTTCCTTCCCGTAATAGGGGAGTGATAACACTTGGTACATGTACTGTCTGAAAGTTAAATGAGATGGTTCCTGCAGACCTGCCCTGAACAGAAAGATGTGTCATGAGCCTTGAAAAACATGCTCCTTCCCCCACCAACCTCACTGCTGCAACTCTTGTGTGGACACGATGCAACCTACCCCATACTCCATCTGCAGCCGATTGTAATTGCAGAACAGATTTGCCCATTTTCCTGAATGTGGTGTTGGCTCTAATCTCTTGCAGGAGGTGCTTGAACTTGCTTTCTCTATCTTGTATGACTCAAACTGCCAGCTGAACTTCATAGCTCCTGACAAGCATGAGGTAAGCGGGGTTCATTTATGAGAGAATGTCACATTTTTCTACAAAAATATTGAAAAGAATGAAATTTTATTTTTAAAAAAATCCTGCATGAGAAAAATCATGAACAAAGAAACATGGTGTTGACTTGGAAGAGAAGGGAAACCTTTTGAAAAACTGCCAGTTAGAACAGGTTCAGCTTCTTGATCAATAGTCCATGGTGAAGAATATACAAAGAATGTGCAAATGCTTCATACTCAGCAAGGGCATAAATGCTAGCCCAGAGGAAGAAACGGCCCTGGTTATAGCTTTGGTTTTCATTGAATATTTAGTTTTTTGTCAGGATTTTCTCAAGATAAACTTATTTCTATTTTTTAAAACATCTGATATAGTTTTTCTACCATGTTTCTTTAACCTCTTTTAAGAGGTTTGGGTCAGTCTCTGTTGTTGGAATTTTATTTTTGAGATGCTCTTATTCCTTTATGACATCTTGTTATATGTATAATTTGTTTATCTCCTTGAAGCACACTGTCAGCTACATTTAAAATATTTGACTTATGTCTAGGAAAGTGCATGTGTGAGGTGAAGTAGCTATGGTTAGTTTAACTTCTACTCTTACAAATTAGAAACCAACATCATGCTTGAAACTCTCATTCTTACATAATACCATTCAGATTTTTGTTTTACGTGTGGTTGCATAAATAGCTTTTAGAAAGGAAGGGAACATTTAAGAGAATCTGACTTTTGTTCCTCATTCCCCTAGGAGGCTTAGCTCATTTAGAAGTTATTCAATATCTGGTTTTCACTGGTTTGAAGCTTTTGAATAAAATTGTACATTCCAAAGAGAAAGGAAGGATTAGACACGAATCTTGCATTTAGAATGGTGCTTACACATAATTTCTGTGTTACTTGACATTTATTATGCAAAAGGATCTGACTTTGTCCTCATCTTCCTGAGAATAGATACTATGTCCTTCCATTTCTCTTTTTAAATAAAATTGTGATTGTTCACAGGCCACCATATACAAGATGTACACAGCTGTACAGAAAACCACTTAGATCATTAAAACTGTGGATGTTATTTAAATCTATGCAGGGCTGTTTTCCCCAATGTCCATTGATTCCTGATAAGGATAAATGTTCTGGGATTGCCCGATTTTTATTCATATCTGACACTTTTTATTGATATAGAGAGGAGAGAAATGCTATATGCTTATGAACACTTTTGATTTCTTCAGATGACTTTTATATCTATTACCTCATTTTATCTGCATAATCACTCCATAAAATAAAAGTTCTATTACAGATATTCTCATTTATCAGATAAGGAGAGACAGGCCTTCCAAAATTGAACACCTCAATAATAGTAAAGACAATAGTAGTTGTAACTAGCCTGGATTCCTCTGTGCCAGGCACCATTCAAAGCTGTATGTATCTCGCCTCACTTAATCTCTATGTAACTCTAAAAATGGACTAAAATTATCCCCATTTTATGAAGGAGGGAAACGGGGCCCAGAGAGGTTAAGAAACTGGTCCAAGGTCAAACAAATAGTAATAGAGCTGGGATTTAAACCAGGGCAGTCTTGCTCCAGAAAGCCCTTCTCCTTGACCCCAGCGCTGCATAGCTAAGGAGAGAGAAAGCAGGACCTGGACTCACAGCTGCCAGCACCTGCCTCCCAGCTTCAGCAGTCACCCGCTTGTGGTCGTTCTGGTTTCTCTATACCCCACCCACACCAGATTATTTTCAAAGGAAATCCAGCTATTTTATCATTTCATTTGTAAATATTCCTGTTTGCAGCTCAAAATAATCAAGAGTTCATTTGGAAACAACTACTATTATCACACCCAATGTTGTAGTATCACCATATGCAATTTTCAGATTTCTCCAATTGTCTCGTGTATTTTTTTTTTTTTTACACTTTGCTCAGGTCAAAATGGATCAAGTAAAATGTATGCATATCATTTGGTTAACACATTTCTTCAGTTTCCTGGAATCTGTAGGTTCCTCTCTGTCTCTCAAGTGAGCATGGGCATGTGTGTTTTCCCCTTGCAAGGTACTCATGAAAAACAAGGTCATCTGTCTGGTAACATTTCCTATAGTCCTGACGTTGCTGGTTATAGTTCTGTGTATTAGTTTATGGTGGCTACTTTAACAAATTACCACAGATTAGTGACTTAAAACAACATAAATTTATTGTCTTACAATTCTAGAGGCCAGAAGTCTGATGCAGGTCTTTCTGAGTTAGGATCAGTATACCAATAGGGCTTCCTTTCTAGAAGCATCAGGGGGAAATCCATTTCCTCACCCTTTGCACTTCCAGAGGCCACCCACATTCCTTAGCTTGAGGCCTCTATCTGTCTAAAGTGATGGCGGGCTGCATCCTCACGCTGCATCATTCCAGCCTCGTCTTCCTTAGCCACATCTCCCTCTTCCTTTCACTTCTCTTTCACTCCTCTTCTGTTTCCCTCTTCCCCTTTTAAGGACCCTAGTGATTATAATGCCCTATGTGGATAATCCCAGATAATCTCCTGATTTTAAGGTCAGTCAGTTAGCAACCATATTTCTCTTTACCATGTAACCTAATATACTCGAAGGTTCAAGGGGTTAGGACACGGTCCTATGTGAAAGGAGAGTAGTATTCTGCCAGCCCCAAAAGCACTATCATTTCACATGTTTGTCTGTCTCCTGTATTTCCTATTAAGTGGCAGTCATAGGATTAATTGAATTCAGGCTCAACTTGAAGCAGCAGTGGTATTGTGTTCTTCCCTGGTGTCCAGTTATCTCTCTTTGGGGCATGTTAGCAGCCTTTGATGATTATTGCCTAGATCATTGGATCCATTAGACATTGGAATTCTATAATCCATTAGATGTCCCAATTCTGTTATTCCTCCTTCATCTATTAGTTGGATGGTTACATAAAGGGAAACTGGCCTCATCATATTTAGTTACCCTGAAGTTACACACTTTATATATGCTAGGCAGGGTAAATACTTCATTCCCTTTACCAGTTTCCAAAATAGTGGACATCTTCCAAAGGAGACGAGTGAGGGGTTTTTGGTGTCTGAGTATATCATTATAAAGTTATGGATTAAACATATTTGTGGTTCAGTAGATTATAGTTACTGTCACTAGCAGTGTTCAAATTATTCTATAAAGTGGAAACCCATTGCAATTGGCTTCTGACTCCTATCGCCATGACCTCAGATCTGTTTGACAACTTCCCGTCATTTGGGTGTGAAGAGGTACCCCAGGCTCATCTTCTGTGTCTCCTGCCTATTCTCTATGGACCCTTGGTTCCTTTTGGTGGGAAGTGGTGTTTAGCAACCAGAATCTGGGCATGGGTGGACTTATTACTACTTGGCTGGTCATTATTTTTAGACCTTTTAATGAGCAGAGCTAGGAGTTATGCTTTTTTAAAGATAAAACTCACCAGGCTTCATACTGACACTTCCAAGTCAGGTTCAGTACTATAGTTTTTATTTATTGGTCAATACACTTTTTAATAAAAATTTCTGTTCCTGTTGCTTCTCAAAAGAAAAGCACCATAGAAGTGTTCCTGTGGGCCAAATTAATCTGTACTGGGAAGCTATCCAGGACTGGAAAGGCTGTGTGCAAAGATCAGAAATCCCCAGGACTCAGGGATTTATGATGAAACATGTAAGAGCTGGAAGGGGCCTTAGAGAGTACAGAGTTCAGTGGTACCCATATCTGGGGGAACATCAGAATAAGCTGGAAGTTTTTCTAAATAAAATTTCCTTACCCAAGATCCAAAAGGTCAGGATCTCCAATGTAATTCCTTAGTATCTATTTTTATCAAGGTTTATAAGGAAACAGAAGTTTAGATGTATTCAGAATCTAAGGTATTCATGAAGGCACTTACATGTCCAGAAATCCCTTTGCATTCAACTGATGTTTATCTGAGTTAAATGCTTTGGCTGAGGTCATATAACCAAGATTCTGCAGTGCAGGGCTGCACTACTGAGACCTGGGCCTCATAATACACTTCAAATACACCATGGGTATATTTTAAGATCCTCAACTTAAAAAGTGGTGCCACCAATATAGATTTTCACCACGTCACTATGACAAGATTAGTATAATGTTTGTAGTCTTATATTACTTTTATGCTGAGATCAGCTATCATATTCTGGAATATAACCCTGATAACCACAGTGCAAGGGACAGATTATGTAGGATTTCAAATTTCAACTTGATCCAGTGAAGGTAGGAGAGGGAGGAATCCAAGGGCATATTGCAGAAGGAAGACCACTCAATGGAAAGAGCGGAGCAGTTGCTATCGGAGAGGTCCCATGCAGGACTAGGACGTCCTAAAGGGTGAGCAAAGCACAGCATCCAGAATGTCGGCAGTTTTCTGAGATGCTGGCAGGAGAAGTTAGGTCTTCCACCAGGAATCATGGCTGTAATACCAGGCAGGGCAGGGCAGGGTTCCATCCTCTGGGAGGAAAACTAACAAGAATGAGGCAGGTCCTCAGAAAATCAAGGCAGTTCCTTTCCTCAGGGAGTTCATAGGCTATTGGAGAGCAAAAGACATGATGAACTTTAATGAGAGGGGAAGAACCAAATTTTTAGCTGGATTCTATAGAAGGCTTTCCAAACCAGGTGATAACTCCCAGGGATCAGGCTCCAGAAACCTAGAGGAGAAAAACCCCGGAAACTGGAGATCCAGGCAGAAGAGGTTCCCAGTCAGGAAACAAACCCACCTCCCATTAAGATCACCATTTTAGCCATTTTGTCCACCAGACGCTGGGCAACAGAAAGCTATTTCCTAGCCGTTTTGCTGAGAAATGCAAAGGTGGGACTACCATTGCCTCCAGGGTGGGATTGGATGTCATTGTGAGTGCTAGGGCCAGGAAGAAGCAAGCTTGACCTGATGGTGAATCCAGGAGTGTTGGAATATATCCTACCAATGCCTTAAAATCATAGACTCACTGGGGGGATACTAGAGATATTACATTGCATGGTCGTAAAGAATGCAAATCCTCCTGCTCTTATTTAAGGAGGCATTATTTGTACACAGAGATACAGGCACTAGAGTCAGATTGCCTAAGGTCAGGTCCCACCCACTCCACTCACTACCTAACTCTCAGTACCTCCGTTCCCTCAGATGTAAAAGACAGAGATAACTGAAGCCTCAACTTTATAGAGGTGTTGTAAATACTAAATAACAACATAAGCAATCCCTTAACATAGAGCCCAGCCAATGTAGAATAATCAGTGTTAGCTGTTGTTGAGACTCCTGTAATTGTGATCAGTAGTTGTCAATGTCACCTCCTTTCCCACCAGTACTGTATCTGGACAGACGGGCTGAATGCGCTGCTGGGGAAAGACATGATGAGTGACCTGACTCAGAATGATCTGGATACCCTGCTCAGCATGGAGATCAAGCTCCGCCTCCTCGACCTGGAAAACATTCAGATCCCTGATGCACCTCCACCAATCCCCAAGGAGCCCAGCAATTATGACTTCGTCTATGACTGTAACTGAAGTGGCCAGGCCCAGAAGCTCCCCCGTCCCAAACTGGAAAATCTAGCTGACAGGAGAGAAGAATGGAAACACACCTACACCTTGGAATCCTCTGTGGCAAAGCTATGGGTCAACATTTTCTTTGGCCTTGCTTCTAGCCCTGGCATTTCTCTGCCCCTACCTGGCATCCTGCTTACCTCCCTGATTCTGTTTCCAGACTCCACTGCTTTAGGTCACTTCCCATCGCTGCAGGCATCTGCGGGGAGAAGAGCAAAATCCACCACCCAAAAGAGAACCAGAAGGCCTTTCCATCCTCGTCCCCAGCAGACATGTCCTCCCTTCCTGGAGTGTGAAAGCCAGCAGCACCAGACTATCCCCCAGAACCTGCCAGCAGACCGAGGGCAGTGCCCCAAGGCTTGTGTCTGGAAGAAACAGCCTAGCTACTTGAGAGGACCAAATACTCCCTTTTGACTCCCTCCTTCCCCTCCTACCCTGCCTAGAGTCAGCTCATACCACCAGGTCCATGTGAATTGAAATCTGCTTTCAAATGCCCTCCCTCCACCGTCCTGGCCTTTGCCTTGTCCTGTTCCTCTCTGGCTCCAAAAGCAACAGCAGCCTCATCCTAGTTCTCGGCAGCACTGGGTCTCCAGACACAGTCCACAGGCCCCGTGCCCGCTTCATGTCCGCACTGTGACCGTGACCAACCCTCTCCCCTCCCAGCTAGTCTGGAATTCCTGCCCCAGGCCAGACCTGCCTTCTGCATTCCCTCCCTCCCTCCCAGCCCCTTAGCGGGAGGCGCTGGAGGTGAATTGGTGGCCACGCTCCCTTTCTGATACACTAGACCTAAACGCCCGTGTACCAGGCGCTTGCTCCTAAGGGTTTGGGGTCACCTTCTGGGGGCTTGGCCACAGCACGGGTTCCATGGGGCGATCAAGCTGTCAGACGTCCACGTTTACATCACTGTTGTTATTACAGGTGTTGACAGTTTGCAAAGGTTTGGGGTTGTCGTCGTTGGTTTGTCATCAGGTTTTATTTTCTTGCTTTGTTTTTGTACAAAAGAGTCTAACATTTTTTGCCAAACAGATATATATTTAATGAAAAGAAGAGATACATAAATGTGTGTACTTTCAAGGTTTTTGTTTTTAATTATTTTAATCCTGAACATCTTCCTGAGAATAACATTCCCTTCAACATGCTGTGGAATAAAGTTACTTGTGATGAGTTGCGGAGCTGGAGTTTTGATTGGGTAACAGGGTCTTGCTGTTCAATCGTCCACATTTCCTTTAGGCTTGTTAGAAATGCAGCATCCCTGGCCCCACCCGTGGCCTGCAAGATGAAGTGATTCATGTGCACACTAACTTTAAGAAGCTCTGGCCATGCAGACTTGACCGTGGCTAGGTCACCACAGGCTCTGAGAGTCACAAGGCATATTACCAAATGCTACTTCTGAGAGGATCCTCTCGATTCATGGGGAAATCAGACTCTATGTAAAAAAAATGCATATTCGTTTTACACTGTTGCCTCCGGACCATCACTGTCTCTTTTATTTTTTCCTTCCTTACCATTATATAATATATAGAACTGACCAAATTAAGCACATCACACTTTTCATTTAGCAATGAAAACGAATGCAGATCCATAGACCAGAAATTTAAGCCAGAACTAAATAAATCTACCTATGAATTAATCAGATATGGGTCAGAGCCCAGGAAAGGATTTTTCTGAGGCCATTTCCACTGGAGGCATATCTGGATCATAAACTCTGAGGGCTGAAAGGGATGTCAGAAAGGTCCAGGCATGCAGAATTAAGCGTGGTAGCAACATAAGCCACACTGGACCTGCTGAAGTGTTAGATGCCTTCCGGTCACTGCTCTTTACAGTCATCAAGATATGCAATTACAGATTGATTTGAGTGCAGATGATATGGTCCAGAGCCCTCCATAAATTGCAGGAGGAAAAAAAATCCTTTGTAATCCATAGTAATTCATGGGCAATTATGCTTCCCATCAGAGCACCCAGACCTGACTGTCACGCGATGCTTCCTTTATCATTAAGCTTCACTGATGTTAACACATATGTCCTTCATGTCAGGAGCATTTACTGATTTGACCATCATCCTGATAAAATGATCTTAGGTAAAAGAAAGCAGACTGAGTCATACCATTTTTTATACTTAGGAATTACCAGACACTACCCACAAAAAGAGGAATTCTTTGGACTAACATATCTGAGGTCTTGGGACTCTGGGTTCAAGAAATTGACCCTTGCTGGAAAGAACAAGCCCCTCTCTCTTCTGGTATACCGGCTCTAGTGCATTAAATAGAAACTAATCCTTTCAGGGCTATTCAGATAATATTCTCCTACCTCTCCTAGACCACCCTCCTGCAGGCTGGTGAGATCCTGAGAGTATAACATCATTCCCTCCTTCTGTGGCAGTAAGGTGCACCACTGCTGTCCATGACTGGCCACTTCATCTTCTATCCTTGGGCAGCCAAGGCTTCTTTCCCAGACAGTGAGTGTTCCACTTTCAGCTCAGCTCCTATCGCTGCAAGTTTCTCAGCCTGGACACCAAAGCAGCCAAGGGAGCAGTGAAGCAGGAAGCCCCAGTTTTGTAATGAGGTCTAAGCTGCATGCTCCAACTCATCTTTACCTGTAATAAAATTGATCGTCAAATTTGAATTTTCTGATATTTTAATTCCTGTCTTATTCTTATTCAGAACCTACAGAGGAAAGGGTAATTAATTAGGTCTCAAACTCAAAAGTGCCTACTTTTAAGGGTAGGGAAATTTATTGGTCATTACAAAAGGAAAGTACAAGGCTGACGTTTCTTGAGTCTATTTCTTGAGGCTATCTTCCAGTTTTCAACTAAAGCATGTCCTATCCACCTGTCCTTGCAATAAACTGGGCAGTTGTCCCAATGACATTATGCCTTTCATCCATTTTGTTTTAGTTATGAAAAATTTTACTTCATAATAAACTTCACATAAACATTTAGCTTTAAGGAAATAAAATATCCATATAATAAAAAATGCACTGAAACACATCCTTATGCAACAAGAATAAAATCTATAAATTTAAAGTTTGTAAAAATGAGGACAATTTGTAAAATTAGGAAAGTTAGAATCAAGTAATTTAGTTAAAATAAAATCACATAACTGCAGCACAGTGGGGTCAATTGTACTATATACATGTAGACAAGGTAAAGTACTAGAAAGGAAGCTGTGCTCAGTACTTTGACATGGGGTAAGGAAACACAAGAGAGGAGTAGAAATTCAAGTTAGGTCTTGAGAGAGAGAAGATGTTCACCATGCAAGAGATGAGCACCCAGGTAGAGGAAAGCGAGTAGAGCATGGAAGCAGGGAAGCTCTGACTGCACAAGCTGGTGTGTCACTCAGCTTGGCTGGTACGTAAGCTGCATGTGGGAGGGCAAGGGAGAGAAGACTGCAGAGGAGGGAAGGCACCGATCAGGAAAATCCTGAGATAGCTGGCAAGGGACTTGGATTTGAGGGCAAGAGAGCGCACTTAAAGGAGCGATGTTCTCAGATTTGCCTTCAGAAATACCACAAAAACAAAACACCCAAGGGGGGTGGGTGAGTGGAGTGAGAAACACGGAAAGCAGAGATAGTAGCAGAAAATGATTGACATAGTGCCAAACAAGAACCACTTAAAGCTCAGACTTTGGTATAAGCAATAGGGAAGAGGAGGAAAATAAAGATATTAAAGAGGCAGAACTTGCTGCCTCTTATTTGATGGAAAGAGAAGAATGCAAAGGGTTTCTGAGTTTTTGGGATGGGAAAGTAAGCATATAGTAGAGCTGTTATCTACAGCCAGGCAGAGAGGAGAATCAGGGGATCTTAGGAAATGGTGAGAATGAGATGAAGATCATGAGACAGGGCGTTTGTTGGGCTTTTCCAAGCAAAGAAAAGATTTAGGGCCAGTCATTTAACCACTCTGAGTCTCTTATCTCCTTGATGAAAGGGAAACCTCATTAACTGAGAAGACTAGATGCGGTGGCTGGAAAATGTCACGCTCAGTAAATCCCATCTGCTCCCCTACCATGTCCTCCCTATGCCCTCCCAATCCTTCATCTCTCTTCCTTTCCTTTGGTTTGAGTGAATGAGCTCTAGCATAGCTCAAACTAAATGACATCTTTTAACCAATTCAGCCTGTTTTATGAGAAAGAAAAATAAAGGAAAGGAAGAAAGGAAAAATTGAAAATTCTAGCATACTTCTTGAAAGCAGGATTTGAAGTAACTTGCAATAAAACCACAATTTAAATTTGGGGGAGAAAGATGTATAATCCCGTATGAAAATAGAGCTATACCATAAATTCTTCTCTTAATATAATCATTTTTTTCTGACATTAAAATGTAAAATGAATACTTCACGTTAAGGGAGGTTTATTTAATTCAGAAAAATAATCAGAGCACACCCAGGTGAAGAAATAATTCTACCGGAAACACCGGGTAAAGTAGTTGCCATACTTGAACATTAAATCCAAGTCTGGGCTTCCAGGAAGCCAGTGTAAATAAGGAAACAATTTGGGATACATAACTCTCATTTTTTAATAAAAGTTTTATTCCCTCATAAGAAAACAGCCTTTTAAAGGTTACAAATTTTGGAGAAGACATGGCATTTAAGCACTTATCACCTTCAATAGGCACCTCTTAGCAGACACTATTTGTCTGTCTGGTTTGCAAAATGAAAGGTGGTATCCCTGCAGCCCCTTGAAGGTTGAAAGCAATCAGGCATTAGCTAAGGGTCATGTGAGCACTGAGTGAGTTTAGGGACAAAGTGACAGAAGAATCAGAGAAAGAGCCTGGGAGTAGAACAACCAAGGAGGGCTTGGCCAGAGAAAGAGGTCTGTAAAGTAGAGGGAAAAGGGCCAGGCCTGGAAGAGGTGCTGGGCAGAAGAAGAGCAGGGTCCAGGAGCCAAACTCCAGTGCACAGGGATGCAGAAACAAGTAAGAATGGGCCTCTACCTTCAAGAGGTTCTAGAACACAAAGAGAGACAAGTAAATGTGATCCATGGCTGAAAAGATAGATGTACAAAACATGTACATAATGTACAAAATATGGAGCTAGCCTCTGAGCAGGAAGCGACTGCCTCTGCCTGGAGGAAGTGAGGCCTGAGATAGAGTCAGAAGGATACTCATGAAGCCAGCAGGTGCAAGGAAGGCCAGTCTCACTCTGTACTCATCCTTTTGGGTCATTACTTTCACTGGACATCAAAGTCAAGGTTGGAAACTCAGCCTCTGTACTCCCACAGGTAGCTCTACTTACCCTGTCTGATTGTGTGAACCTGAGCTCCCTGAGAGGAGGAAGAAGGCTGATCATTCTTGCCACTCCATGCCTTACCATCAGTGCCTAACTGTAGTACCTCGGTACTCCTAAAAGAACCAGAAAAGAGCATTTCTGGAAGAGGTAACAGCAAGAGACATTACAAAAAAGGAAGATGCTATGGCTCAAACAGGGATGAGTATGGTAAAGAGAAAAGTAGGAGAAAAGCTTGGATAAGAGGGTGAAGAACCTTGAATGGCATGCCAGCAGGTGGGCAGTGTGTTCTTTATGTGCCTGGGACCACAGCCACACATACTTAGGTGAATGGCATTCAAGGTTCGCACTTTTAGACCACTACTTTCATACTGGCCACAACGCAAAAGACAAGTTGAGGAGGAGTGTGTCTAGAGGCAGGGACCAGGTTAAACCATGTCAAAGTGCTTCACTTTCAAGAAGGCCAAACCTATCAATCAATCAAATGACTGGGATCAAATTGAGCCCAGCAGAAATTATACATGGGTGTTGTAAAGAAGTGGAGCTTGATTGTCATTGCAAAGGACAGAAAAATAAAAGACAAAACGTTATATTTTTTAAGCTTGATGTATAAATACAAAAACAGAAATAAGAACAAGTCTTTCTCAGACTGCCTGAAAAGACAACATCTGAATAATTGCTGGTTAAAAGATACGTGCCTAAAATAAAATGACACAGAATAATTGAAAACCCAAAGATGGGCAAGATATAACAGCAACTACAAAGTCACACTCATGCATGTGCGGAGAGGCAGAGAAGGAGCAAATAAATTTCAGGCCAGTAAAACAGGGTGAAAAGCTATGGAAAAAGACAGGTATTTGGTACTACTCATTAACACTGGTGCAATTTGTCATGTTGATGTGACTGACAAGATTGTCTAACACCAAATAAAATTTCCATGAAAAAGATAAA